CTTCTTATCTCTTATTTGCACTGACCCGCAGCAATGCACGAAGTGAAGTCCCCACCCGCTTGCATTTCACTAATATTCAACATCGCTTATGCGCATAGAGTTATCCTGCAATCATATAGGCGAATTTGCGCATACAGACCGTTTTAAGAATGCAAAAATCGAGCACTTCTGTGAAGAATGTCGCACCGTTCGCCGGAAGTGCGTCAGACGGGCATGAACCCCTATGCGCACCGCATTGGGGTTCATGCCCGTCCGGCGCACGGTGCGACATTCTTCAGACAAGTGCTCGAACGAATTCAAAGCGTATTTGACGGTTGCTAATGGGCATTATATTTGTTATGTGTTTGCTTTCTTCCTGCCTGAGTATGCCGAGATAATTTCAGACACACCGTTCCCGGCACAGATCTCGGGCGTCAGTAAAAGCTCGTCCAAAAAGGCTTAGCAAGGAGTAGGGGACGCTTGTTAGGGCCTCCGTCATAGGAAGCGAGCAAGCCGGCCGTGTCGCGGCGGTCGCCCATTGTTCGCCGCGACCTAGCGGTAGCCGCCGCAGGAGCATCGGGGAGCAATGGCGACGAACAGCATGGTAGGCAGTGTCCCCGTCGTGATTATGAAGGAATTTAAGGCAGTTACGAATTCGGAAAGTTCCTTCGGTAGCCGGTGCCGTCGGCGCAGAATCATCGGGAAGTAATAGCAACGATCACCACAGAGGACAGTGGGCGATTACGAATCCGGAAAGCTTCTTCGGTAGCCGGTGCAGAATCATCGGGGGGAAGCAATGGCGATGAACAGCACAGCGGACAGTGTACCCGGCGTGATTACGACGGGGTTTAAGGCGGTTACGAATCCAGAAAGCTTCTTCTGTGGTACCAATATGAAGAAGGGAAAACTCCTTCGTGAATCTGGCCGCGTGTACGACGTGAAGGAGGTCCGTTTCGACGGAGAAGTGGACGTCACGGAGCGCCGTGCTCCGGTAACAAAATTAAGCGCGCCCGCAAAAAGATGCAGTTGGCGTTGAGTGGACTGTGGTAATTATGCACGTTTATTTCTGAATCAGCTTGACAAAAACTGGGTGATTTTTTTAACGCCGTTCCGCGATTCCCACTACTATCTTCCTGTATGCTGATGGAAACATCCAAGGGTAGGCTTAGGTGGGCGACCGCATTCCGCTTCTCGATTCCGGTGAAGTATTTGCCGCATACTTTAGAGTTTGCCGTCGGTGTCGATGCTGTTGCATCGTCGCTAGAATAGAAAAAAAATTTAATTGTATCATTCGTGAGCAGCTTAAAGGGATACTTCAACGAAATTTGAAATATTCCCGTCGTGTTAAAAAATAGGTTGAATATGATCCACAATATCCGTAAATGACAATCGCACGTTTGTATTTTGAGCCTGGTGGCTGTATTTTTCGTTATAAACGGCCCACTCTGGCAAGCGCTCGGAGAAGGCCCAGCGGAGACCACGTGACATCCAACGCAATCATGACGTAGGTCGTCTCAAGACGAGCAAAGCTACGGCGAGGCTGACGGCGAGAGGATGGCCTAGTCGTTCCAGCCACCGAAGCGGCTGCTTTTGTACAAATTTTGAGTGACGGGTTAATCTTCTATAATCTTGTAGGGGGACAATACCCAGGCGAAAATTTTCAACTGGGACCAGTTGGTCCCAGTTGCAACTGGTTTATGGAACAATTCCCAGTTGCAACTGGTCCCAGTTGGAGTCGTCCAACTGGGACCAGTTGGTCCCAGTTGCAACTGGTTTATGGAACAATTCCCAGTTGTAACTGGTCCCAGTTGGAGTTGGTCCCAGCTGGAATTGGTCCCAGTTACAACTGGTCCCAGTTGGAGTTGGTACCAACTCCAGCAACAATGAAACACGGCACAAAATGGAAGGTTGACAATACTTTATTGTCAAAAACTTGAAGAATGAAACTAAATAGGTTCGGTGACGTACACGCTCCGGGTTTAGCCACTTGCTTGCGACGGTTGAATCGCTTTTTCAGAGGTGGTATTCATGAGATGAAGGAAGATCGGCCGCTGGCGTCTGTTAGTGAAGACATCCTCAGCTTCTCTTCCCATCGCGTGAAGAAAGGTGCTCACCCGTGATCCTGCGTTGCGCAGGTGAAGTCCTGATAAGATGCGGTAGCGCTCCCACCTTGCGATCTCTGTCACAACAGTCGAACATTTTCGAGGTAGACCTCCCGCCATTTTCGCCATTGTGCTCTCCGCGGCGTGTTCTCTTCCGTCCGGTCTATGTGCGTCCGGTCTTTCCTGGGTGCCCTCCGATCGCTGAACTGCATCTTTCCATCCTCGAAGTTCACCGCCGCCACCGTGGTGTGTGTACAGTTAGGTCCAAAGAAGCGCAGCTGTAGTTTATGACATTTTCATAACGACGCCAACTTGGGCGATGGCGACCCTTCTTTACCGCGTCCGTCCGACTCCGGCGTCAGCATAGGCAGCGCCATCTGTCGACAGCGCGTACCACTAATCCGCACCCGCGTGCCACGGCGGCCGGCTAGCTCTGATTAGTCAAAAGATAAATTTATTTATTAAAAGAAAAAAAAAATACTGTAGGTATTTAAATAAATGTTTTAATATATTTTAATAATGCACTAAAAGTGTAAATGTAGGTGAACACATTTTGTCACTAATTATATTTTCCAATTAAAAAATTATTTAGTTAATTAAAATTTTTATATTATTTTTATAAATATATAAATGTACCCCAGTAATTAAAATTCCCTATTTGTATAAATCTAAAAATGTTAGTGTTTTTAGTTTTCTTCATTAGCAAAGGTCAATACACCCCCAACTTGTCCAAATTGTTGCCCAGTGTGAACTGGGAACGGGAAAGGCATTTGAAGTCCGACTGGGAATCGCTCCAACCAGTTACTTTCCTAACTGGTTCCAGTGCACTCCATTCCCAACTGGGAGTCAAACCAGTTGACTCCCAACTGGGAATGGTTCAAACCAGTTGACTCCCGACTGGGAATGGTTCAAACCAGTTGACCCCTCAGCTGGCCCCAGTTGGACTCCTATTGGTCCCAGTTGATTCCCAGTTGGGACCAGTTAGTCCCAGTTGAAACCAGTTGAGGTGCCAACTGGTCCCAGTTAGAAATTTTCGCCTGGGTAGCGACTTCTGCGACACACAAAAGGCATTCTCGGGAAGAGGGGAGTTCCTCCTGCCCCTCTTCTTTCGTCGTGGCCGGAGGCGAGACAACCTCCGTCACTAGCTGCCAAGGTTGCTAGACGGGCATTACAAGCGAGGCGTTAGCGACATCCACCAGGTGCTCTTTGCTGATCGTTTAATTCGTTTTAAAATTCCTTTTCGTGACTTTTTTAACAAGATATCGGTATGTTCGATTTGATGCTGCTTTTTTGAACACATATAGACCAAAAAATGAGCGCCGAAATTTCGTTGTAGTATCCCTTTAAACAAAGCGCGAACTGGAAGGTAAGAAACGCATCTTGGTTTTAAAAGCGCACAAAAGACGAAGCAGAGTAAGAAACACAAACGACGGATGAGCGCTCGTCCGTCGTTTGTGTTTCTTACTCTGTCCTCGTCTTTTGTGCGCTTTTAAAACCAAGATGAATGACTACCAACTAGCCCAACTTTCCACTCTATTGCAGTAAGAAACGCCACTAACCTGTATGGACGCACAAGTCGCACCCAGGCCGCGCAGTACTCCGCCTCGTGCGGCTCCGAAGGCACGATGTAGTACTTCATGCCGTGCGCGATCTTCGACGTACTGTTGCAGCCGACCACGCAGCAATTGTTACGGCTTTCTTGATTCGGAATAGCCATCTCAGAAATTACAGCGCTGACCCACTACAACGCTCGACCAACGCAGCGGCTGGCAGAAGCTCCCCGATGCAATGGACCCGTTTGCCGCTAGGGGCGCCCTGGTCGGGGCTTGAATTAGATGCGCACGGTTCCTATAGCTAGCCGATCTCAGCGTTTGCGGAAAGTTAATCTTCTATCAGCATAAAATTTGAGTGGGAGATATATGATGACACGAGGAAGACATCATAGTAACTTTTGTGCAGTAGTGAGGTCGAATTTATTGCGTTTCCTTAAAAGTTCATGCGTAAACGCTGTCCTCAACTTTGATGCCCCGTGAGGATGCGGCTTGCTTTTCGTTCAATGAAGTAACAAGAACCGGACGTTTGGCAAACAAATTGCGTGTAAGGCTCCAGACGAACAAATTTCAGTTGTAGTTGACTGGTACTAGACGGGATTACTGACATTGAGCTCAAAGATGCATTCGTCGGGTGAGGTGACTAAGCCACGACTTACTACGTTCGCAAACGCACGCACAATATCTGGTGTTTCGGGAACCAAGGAAAGTGCCCCGGTCTTCGTTTTGTATCGCTCGATAATGAGTGTATTGTACGTTCGTGAAAAGTCAGATAATCGAAAACGGAAGCAGCGCGTTGGGTCGCGGCGTGGTAGCATGAGATGAAGCTGCTCAGTCGAAACCGAAACTGAGTGGCCAACTAGTTCCCAGAGTGCACCGCGTGGTATTTCGCCGCGATGGGGCACGTCGGTTTTGATGTTAAAATTAAAATTAAGCTAGTTGGTTAAACTTAATGGGAAAAAGCGCAAATGGCTAGGAAGAGGAGAAGGGGACAGGACAGAGCGCCTAGACTTGATTTCGTACCGCTCCCGTAATAACGCCGACACTACGCGCGTCTGTTGTACGCTGTTTTAGTTTCGGTTTAAAGCTTACAATACGGCTGATTCACAGATTCTACACTTGGCACCGTGATCGCCGCCTCTCCGGGCTCAAGAACGGCCTTAGTCTCTGTTTTAAATATAATAATTTTCATAAAAAAACACGCAATATATTACTCAAATGTCAAGAACTCGCGTAGCGGTTCACGCTGATTCGCAGCAGACACTCGTTCGGTTACGCAGGAACCAGAGGGCGAGAGTCACCGTCCAGTTCAATGGCTTCAGCTTCAGTTGTGTTCTTTGATCCATCGCTCGTTTAGCATTCTCTCAGCAACAACAACAACAACGGAACCGTGTGTATGTGGTTTGTTTTACGCAGTTTTACGTTCGATGACCACTACTCAACAAACAGGTACTGTTCCCATGTCTGAATCCGTTAGGTGCGAGGCACTAGCTTTGAAATAGACTTCACAAGGCTCCGCTAACGGCCGTGGCTTCATGTGAGACTGCTTCAACGTCGACTTTTCGCGCACGAGTAGCGTTATGTGAAGCCGTGAAAACGCGCGCTCGCCTGAACCTTTTAAGCAAGAAACTTACCAATTAAAATTAGGCTGTGTCTGCAGTGTCGTCCGACGGCACGCCACTCGGGCCTACAATGCCGCCTGAAAGAAAGTCGGACGGCGCGTGTATCACTGGGGGGCTCTTTAACCGCCGACGCCCGCCGTGCGGTTAAGTTAACCGGCTTCAAGCAAATGGGCCCACAGTGTCGCGTGAATACATCCAACACTGCATTGACAATGATATCGTTCTAAGCCCCCTCAGGCGTGTTGGTTACCACCAGGCAATCGTCAACAAGTCGAAATCCTTTCTGGCACTACTCGCACCCAAATTCTCGCCAATGGTTTGGTCAATCTTTTCCAAAAAAAAAAAAATGCTGCCAAGCGCTTTAGCCAGGCATGCCTCTATACAAACTCCTTCTCTTTGTAACATATGCACGCCTTCAAACTGAAGGAAAGTTGGTTAAAAGTGAAACCTGAGCAGTTCCAAGAAACAAGTTCTGGAACTTGACCACACTAGAGCACTATATAGCTCCTTCGGAGCAGAGTAGCGCAGAGCCGTGTATTGGGAGAGTTTGGCCAAAAGGCGGAGCAAAAGCCGCCGCCAGCGCCGAGTATTCCCCCCGCGCTTAGAGCGTAAACTAAATTTGTGACACAGCGTCGACCAATCAGGAGACCGCGACGTCACATTATTGCAAACGACGTTCAAAGCGTGAAATAGAGGCGTTCAATCTCGGTCTCTCTGCTCCATCTCACAAATGTCGGCAGTGAAGACAAAGGTACAGGCGCGTGAACCTAGCTCAGCAAAACGCTTTTGTTTGTACGAGAACTCGTGCATAGGAGCCTTTTTCCAAAGCCACGCGCTCGTGCCCGTGCCTTTCTCTGCACTGCTGATGTTGGCTTGTTAGAACAGCGTCCTGTGACTGGCGGAAAGAAAACAGTGCAAAGGGTGGGGCGCACGAGCGTCTGGAAACGCGGAGTCCCGCTCGGCTCGTGCGCTGGCTTTGGCAGTGCTTTCTTTCACCGTCTCAGCTGAGACGCTGTTTCTAGCAAGTTAGCCCTGGTTTGGAGCGCACGTTCATTTATTCTACACTTGAATATTGGCTTGACGAAAACCTCGCACGCACAAAGTTTTCAGTCACTGAGAGTCACACCTTTTAACTCTAGCGACGCTAAAACGGCTTGAATTAGTCGTGTCACAAATTTAGAGCTCACGATCACCGCTAGGGGCTGTTTCGCGGCCTGTGGTTGGCCCCGAGATGCTCGCCTATTCAAACCAATGTATGGCCAAACTCTCTCGATAAGCGGCTCTGGAGTAGCGCAATCTAGAACGCCATCTTTCGGCGGCTAGCGGCGAACACCTGGGGGTAACAACTTTGGCCAGAAATGCATGGGGAACAAGAGAAAATTGTTGTTTCCTCAATACAGTGGAGATATACAGAGCGACAATAGTTTCTGACATAATAAAGGAACATTTTAGAGTAATTTGTGCTGAGTTGTGTGCCATGTAAAGACGTAATTACTTTTTAAAAATTGCATGAGCGGCATTATGCAGCAGGCGACGCGGGGACGTCTCAGCGTTGACGCGACCCGCTCCGGCGAATCCAAAACGCCCATCTCCGCTGCGTGCAAACATCGTCTGCTTCAAACGCCATTGTCTTGAAAATTGCCTTCTCAAAATTTGCAAACACATCCAATATTATTAAAACTTTGATAAAGTGTTTAGTGCTTTACTAAATTCACGACAGAGTAGTTTTAAAAAGTGTGGACTCGCCGTTTATTTTTTAATTAGCCGTGTTGCGTCGATCTCCATGTATTCTCCCATAGGGCGGGCCACCTCCTGGAACCCTCAGTACCACGTGACTCACACCGAGCTGCTCTGTCGGCCTTGTTGTCGGCAAAACACGCTGATCAAAGGATTGCGCTACTCTGCTCCATAGGAGCTATATAGTGCTCTAGACCACACCGTTGTCGTCGATACACTCACACACCGACGCGAAGAGGCCTTTCTAGGGAACAAAGTAAAACAAATCAACTACATCTAAAGAGAACGCAGCCGCATTTGCATGGGTACCAGAATTCAAGTACTCAGCCACCGCCTCTGAGTTTTGCACCAAAAATAGGTCACTAAGTTGCAAGGTAGTTAATTGCTTGTTAATTGTATTGGCTCACCAATCGCTGCCATGCCCCTCTTTCGGTGACAATTGTCCTGAAAGGTGAACCCTCCTTTTGGTTTTAGCCGTGAAAAAGGCTTCCATTTATCCAACATTGCTTGTCTTTATGCGCCTTCCCAAGTCGCGCAACTCAAGGCCAGTGCACAGCCTCAAAGTGGCGCTCCTTTTTTTCGGGTCGAGAGACGTTGGTTTGTGGAGTTCTTAAGAACAAGGATGGAAGAACGCAGGAGAAAAGGGATACACCTGCAAAGAAGTAGTTAGAAGATTGGTGGAAATCATCTAGGGAAAATTGAACGAAGTAGTAAAACTAATCAGCAGAGCTGGGGACAAGCGGGACAGAGCAAACCTGGGACACCCTCTTGCGTGGCTCCAACCAAATGCCTCCACCCTCTCTCCCATGGGGTTCGGCAATCAGGGGTTGGGGTCACCAAAGGAAAATTGACGACTCGCTGGGGAGGTGGGGGGTGGGAGAGGAAAGAAGATAAGGCGGGGTGTGATGTCTAGTCTCTTTGACTGATGTGGTAGTTAAAAAATGGCAGAGGGGAAGGAAAAGTGGCTTAGAAGGGCTAGGAGAGGAACCATACTTTTGCTGGTTTTTGGTTTCTAGCCTAGATGGAGCAAGCTACTGCTCGTTATAAAAAGTACAGCCATTAGCATCCATCCATCCACCCAACAAAGATATCCGGCGCTGAGATCCTACCATCGATCACACTTCCGTGCTTTGTCAGCCTCAAGCGTGTTCACACAGGTGAAGCGTGGCCGAAGGCAACGAGCGCTGCTAGGGGCTGGGCATACGAAAGAGACGTGCCTTGCCCTTCTCACCCACTCAGTGACTAAAATAATTTTAAAATTTGATTGGCAAAAATTAAGGTACTCTAAATGGCTCAGAAGACATTGACTGCAGACATTTGCTACCCACTTTCAGCATCTTTCCTGATTTCACATTTTGCAACGTGATGCCGTGCCTGTGGCCTGAAATGAAGGCTGCAAACTTTGGCTTTGTTGTCTGGAGCTCATGACTGTATCCCTGTGCCTATGTTTCTGAAAACCAGCAGTGACAGCATGTCAACAAAATGCTCAGTATCTGCATACTACACACATAGCGTTTTCTTATTCTTTTCCTTTTGTGGAAATGTTTACGTGGCAGGGATTGCTGTTGCACGAGGTCTCATTGTGATGGCCTTGGTGCTGAGTGTACAACCTTCTGCAATATTCGTTTCGCACCACCAAATTCATTCTTCTCGGCAAGAACAATTGTTGAGTGACCAATGGCGTGGTGCAATGAGTTCACGTGGAAACCCCTAAAAACATTTACAGAGTTTTCTTCACTACAAAATGGAGCTATGCGTCGGTGAGCGCTCAATCTCCTTCCAAATGCAGTGCTAGCAGTTCAAACCAGATGCCAAAGTTTCAGAACGAACCGTTATCAAAGTACAAAGTTGTAAGTCAATGTAATTTTCAATGGCAAAGTGGCAGAATACATGGAGCTGAATGGCCCCAGTAACCGAGAACGGGTTGTCTCCTTTTCTTATCTATATATTCAGAAAATCACGTATAACCTTTTAATAAAATGAGAGTTCTGAAACTCTGGCTTCTGGTTCGAACTGCTAGCTCTACTTGGGCAGATACGAGTATTCGGCAATGCATCATTTATTTCTCCAGTAAAGACTGTAATTTGTTTCGGGAGATATGCTGTTTGTTAATATGATTGCTAGCTGCAATGATCGGGTTTTGCGTGGTTTTCATTTCAGGTTTGTAAATGTTGAACACTTGTCAATGAAGCTTGGAGCATGCATTTGATATTTACGAATGCACTGTAACATCATCTCTCTTACTGTCATCAGTCCTTGTGCAGTGATGAGGATGCAGCATCGTCCAAAGTATATATCGCTCCATTGCAAACTATAAATGATTCCTCATTATCTAAGGGGAGCTATGGATCAAAAATTGGCAACCTTTCGCAAAAAAATTGATTTTTGGTTTCATGGCGTTTAATGATCGTTATAAGGACTGGTTATGATCCCGAAATTCTTTAATTAAACATTTTGAAAAACTGACAAGCCAGTACTGCATAAATTTGACCCAATTTTGTGCGCGGTTCTTCAAATGGTCGTCCTCTCAGCCAAAGTGTCTCTGCTCCATTGCATTCTTCTGTAGCTTCAATTTCTCACTAAAAAATATTAACAAAATTTATTTTTCCCACTGTGGAAGAGTGTCACTACATATATACGGTGACATTCAAACTCACTTTTTCGTCTATGTAATATTGGGGCATGTTCCCAATAAGTGTGCAACAATTTTTATTTTTAATATATTCCTATACCATCCAATTCCTATACCATCAAATTGCTTAATATTGTCCTATACCATCAAATTAATTGCTACTATCTAGGTTTGAATGGAATTTTTTTATGTTTATAAAAACATTACGAAACGATTGTTAGGCCTTCGGATATTGTGTTTTTGCGGTTTTTGTTTATTTTAAAATATGATAGGTTTTCACACAGTATTTTTGTTGTTCATTGCACTTAGTGGTTTAAGAGGAGCAAATTTTTTTTTTATTTGGCTAGGCTCTTAAGTTTTGCCATGTCCCACATGTGTGCAAGAACAAGTTTTTTTCTGCGTGTTCCGAGCATCCAAAACATAAGCAACAAGCCATATCAAAACTCATACAAGATTTATATTTAGGAGATCAAGCATTATTAGCTGTGAAAATTTAATTCTGTTATATTAAATAATAAAATATAGTTTCCTCCAGTGTAACACTAAACTTTTTGAGGAAAGAGGAACATGACAGTTTTCCTAAATAGGTGGATTTCAGGGTTCCGGGGTTCAACGAATTTAAAAAAGAAATCTAGCAATAATTAGGGACACCTAATGGGTTCCAGCCATACAGTTATCTCCGATTTGGTATCGTTCAAGTCCTAACTCATTTAGCTGTTAGTATTTTTGTCGGACTGACAATGCAAAAATGAAGAGATTGTTTTGAGACACCTTCGAACTCTAAAGGCTGAATCACATGTAAGCGATTTAGCGAGCGCCGAGATGGGCGACAGCATTTGGGATTTCTCACTGTCGCTCGTCGCATCGCTCGGTTTTTGATTTTCTAGAAAATTTTGCTCATCGCCTTGGTCGCTTGTTCCCGTCGTATTCATGCGGTCTGCCTCGTCGCACTACTGACCGAGTGACAGCGGTGCGGGTTGCCATCGCTTGTCTAGTCTCGCCAAATCGCTTACATGCGGTTTTTACTTCAAGGGGCCCTGCAACAACTTTTTGGCTAGTTCTTAATTTGCACCAAACCTGAGCGCACGAACATAGTAACTTAGCAAAACTTTCTTTTTCTCGAATTTTTATTTATCTTAAAAGTTATAGGCATATTAAAATTACAATAACATGCAAGAAATAACCGTTTTCATGACGTCTCTGGTCCTTGCTTGGGTGGCCGTGGACTAGAGGAGGGGTAGTGAGCTCAGCGAGCGGACACTGTTGCCGCACTCTGTGTCGACGGCTCGAGAGGGCGGCACTAAAGCATGTGCTGGATAGCCTGGATGAAGCGGGCGACCAGGGCAGCTTGCATTGCCTTTACTGCGTGGCTAAAGACCAATTCGGCATGACTCTTCATTGGCCTCGAACGACAGCAAACACGGGGTAAAGATCAGTTCAGAACAAGAGCCTTTTCGTGCTGCCAAACAAGCAAACCGGACGCCGAACCTGCTCTCCGAAGGCCTTCGTATTGCTTGGAACCGGTCGGATCTTGCGGCCCATACGACCGCAGTGCTGCTGCATACATCCGGGAACTTTCTACGCTAGCCACTCGTCGGTGCCTGACCCCACTACCCCTTTCTAGTATGCACCGCCTTCTCCACTGCTTGGTGGCAAGTACGTCGATGGGTCATTTCTTGTTTCTGTATTTATAAACTGCATTTGTTTCTTTTCTAATCTAAAATACTAAACAAAAACTACTTTCATAAATAATTGAAACGGTTTGCGCCACTTATATTTCGTATTTCGACAAAAAAAAAAAAAAAAACTTTTAGCGGCTCTGACCAGTCGTAAGGCAGGAGCTGGCGAGGACCGACGTCGCAATGTCGTCACATGCCACGCACGTTCGGTACCACGGAGCACCCCCGTAGGTGAAGGAGGCTTCCGCGTCGTCCAGTTCAAATATGACGCACTGATATTTAGTTACTCTTTCCGTGCCCGCTGGATTGCCCGAACCACGAGATGTGAAAACTGCAAAAAGGTAGATGCTTAAATAGGATTGCGGGCCCCTTTAAGCCAGGTGGCACAAGCTAGCACCCATTACTAGGCATAGAGGCATTTCATTTCCTCGTACATTCGTCATTGTTATCTCAAAATGGCCAAATCCTTGGTGTCTCTTGTCTTTTATTCTTGTAGGTGTCTGACTAGCTTGGTGTGCTTGGAGTTTGTGCTCACTTTGTTATTAATTACTGCCATTGCTCATTGCATTTGGTTCCTAGCATCTCAAGTGGTCCCGTATGTCCCTCTTGACCTTGCAAGACTCCCTACGAACCTGACCTTGGGCAGCAATTCAAATGGAACCAATTCAGTCCTCAAGCCGTGGTAAGTTTTCATTTTTTTTTTTTCCAGCTCTTAATAAACAGGACATTGACTGTGTCTAGACTAGATGCAGTCATACTCTAGAGCAGCGCTTCTTGTACAGCTGTCCACACACTCCTAGGGGTCCACACCAATTCGGAGATCCACCTCCAGGGGAGCTAAGAGCCCAGATGAAAATGTGCAGAGCGATTGGATTTTTCTGGGAGGAAAGCAGCGAAATTGAATTTGGGGAAAGGGAATTGACTTTGGGCAAGCTATATGTTGGGCTCCTATTGGCGGTGTGCATGAACTACAAAGGGCGCTTCTCGAGCTATCATCATCATCACTTGACGTCATGGGTAGGACAGACTGGGACAGACCGCGTACATCTTGGATCCTTTGGCTCGTCAGCTCGCTTCATGCGCCGTTTGTGTAATGCGCGGTGAAGCCTGTTTCTTGCATTGTGTTTATTTCGTATAGTGATATTTGTAGTTGGACATCTTACCAAAGCTTGAAACCGTGGCGTGCGTAGTCGTGCTAACAAACAGTTTTCGCGCTGAGGTGTCGAACCGCTCGAATAGTGGCGTGGTGTTCACTACATCAGCAGGGGTGGAAGCGCTGCGCCACTGCACCATTTTGCGCCAATCTTCTTTCGCTGTGCCATCCTGCTCCGAAACGCACATGTTGTGCCAAAACTAGTGCAAAAAAGATTTTTTTTTGTTTTATTTACATATATATTGATGTGGCCGTGTCAACGTCAACGCAGGTTATTCTCGTTAGTTGAAAGCTGGCGCCAAGTGCCTATTTTCATCTAGTGAGAATGACCATGATTTATTCCGGACCAGGTAAATAGACAGTTTTTCAAGCGTAAGCAGCATGAGGGCCAACATCGTGCGAGTTGGTTTTTCAAGTCGTTACGTTTCGAATGCGAAGAAAACTAAACGATTTTATTGTTGTTCCGAAATATACCGTATTTGGATGAATTCAACACATAATAAAAGTCATGTGCTTATTTCTCTTTCCCATACCAGTGTCTTCGAAGCACTTGTCTGGGTGCGTTGCTTTGTGCCGTCAGTGCCACAGCTCAGCCAACAACGGCATGTGGATGTATAATCTCCGAAAATGGGGCATGCATAGGTGGCTTTGTCACAAGCACTAAAACAACAATTCGTCGTTTACTTTTTTGTTGCTTTCACAGAACGAAAACTTGCATGCATCAAATCGCGTATACCGTAAATTCTCGTATGAACACCCGCCCATCCCGTTTCTTGGGCTGAATATCCATAACATAAAACTTTGAAAACATAGACAACCATCCCCCCCCCCCCCTCCCCCCTGATTCCCTCCGGATATCGATCACGCAATGTCCATCGCGAATCACACAAACCGCGCGATCTGCGGTATCGGTGCGTGTGACAAGCATGTTTGCCACGGGTTCCCTCGTGCTTATAGCCTTGTCCCACTAGAGCGACAAACAGATTTTTGTCCGACAACACCACAAAGTTCCGTGTCGCCGATGCTGTCCCACTGCAGCGACCAACACCCGCGACAATCGCCGACAAGTGCCGACAAACGATCGACGATGGATGAGTTCTTGTCTGTCGTTGGACCTGAAGCGCAGCAAGCAGTCCCACTGAGGAACATCTCTCAGAGACAAACTTATCCTCCTCGCCCGTTTGTGCCTTCTTTTGCCTCCCATCCCACCCTTCTACCCTTCCTCCCAAAACGAGAAGCCCTTGGCGGCCACTCCTCGTTCCCGGCCCTGTTTGTGCCTTCTTTTGCCTCCCTTCCCACCCTTCTACCCTTCCTCCCAGAACGAGAAGCCCTTGGCGGCCACTCTTCGTTCCCGGCCCTGCAGTTCCGGTCCCTCGATTGCCCGTAGTGGTCACAGGCGCGGCTTGCTGGCTGGCGCCGGGTGGTCGTGTTGCAAAAGGGAATTTGCTGTGGCTGGTTTTGCTCGCGAAAACTTGGTGCGCGAGGTGGTGCTTCAAGACGCCGAAATCTACGCCCCTGCATCAGGATTGATACACCAATGTGCGAAGACTGACCAAAGTAAGACTGCTCACCACGAAGTAGGACATGACGTTCCGCGGCTAACCATTCCGGCAGACGAGAGTCTTGTCATTACGTTCTGTGATAATCGTGATGCCGTATTGTCCACCAAAGAGCGCCTGCCCTCGATCATACGAATATGAAGTTATAAACATCCTCAAAATGCGTGAAATTCCGTGGCGTTCACCTAGAATGCCTCGAACGGCCCGAAAGGGAACGATTCGGGTATTTCTAGTTCAGAAAATGTTTGGTGTCGATTGTCACGACTGTTTACGGAAAGTCGCCAACGGCAAATGAAGAGAAGTGGAAGCTTCAATCAAGAAATAAAGTAATTGTCTCCACTTTCACATGTTTATCGGCGCGTTTTATGCCCAAAGAGCAAAACACGAAAACCGCGTCGCCAGACTTGGTTTTCTGTGTATTTTGAATTGTTTCGTTGACAACTCCAGTCCCACTAGGACACAAGTTTCCTTGCCCCCGTGTTTTGCGTCGTGTCCGCCAGCTGGGACGGCGGACTCCGACAAACAGGCTGTCCGTCGGTGTCGTTTGTCGCTCGTTGTCCTGTGCCATTGTCGTTTCTTGCTGTCTGTCGCTCTAGTGGGACGAGGCTATTATTGCACCGTGATATGCGAATCTGCACGGTCCGCAGTCTGCGACATGCAAATTTCTAACTCATTCCCGCATTGTTTTTTTCGTGATTTGCGCGCTTTATGTCGGTTCCCGTGACACCCAAGTTTGCAGCGGGTTCTTGCGTGTATAGATTGCATGGTGAAGAGTGAATGCGCTGCGTCCGCGTTCTGCTGCCGTACCCACGACAGGGGAGTTCATGGCGAATTCCCGTGCGCTTATTGCACCGTGGAACGCGAATTCGCCAGGTCTGCCCTCTGTGGTATCATTAATGAAAAGTCGGAGAATGTGCAGGGGAGCGAGCTCGTGGTAGTTAATTATGATGCTTGAAACCTGAGACTGCTGCAGGGGAAAAATAGGAAACTTTGAAGTCACAGAGTTTCTTTTTCACGTAACTTGTAGCTTGTGCCTTCTTTTGCCCCCCCCCCCCCTTCGACCCTTTTTTTCGTGCTTATCACCAGTTTCTTTTTTTTTATAAAATTTTGCGGTTGCATTCTGTAACATGGATTTATCCATACTTTTCACTATTTGTCTTCATTTCGGCTGGGCATTCTTTCGGGACTTTACGGTATTTAAAGGTACATAAGAGCTTGCTGGCACCTGTTCAATTATCGTCTAGTCTGGGGATAGTGACAAGTACTGTACAAAATTAAACATTTGGCATATATGCATATATATTTTGTTAGTGAAATAAAGCCCAATACTTACTGACTACAGTCTTTATTATAGTGATGGGCCGAACTTTTGCCAAATCGAAAGTTTGGGACCGAATCTTGTGATTCGTCAAAAATACATTGTTACCAGACTTAACATTGATATTTAGTTTTTCTGGATAAGAAAGGTTTTGTTGTGTTTTTTCTTAATCTAAATGCAACATGTAATGCATGTTGACATAATTATTACTAAATAAGGTGATATTCTACAAGATAATTGTATCGGTGTTGTTTTTGTGTGTTTTCTGACAATTTTAGTGACTCCTTGGAGAAGTGGCGTGACAACGTGATTGACGAGGTTGGATAGAAGCGAGCATAGCGCATTCACGAATCACGCTAGGAGAATTTCGGTTTTGAGGCATTATCAGCACAAGGCTGCATGTGTGTGTACATTGTTAAAATTAAGGCAATAACGCTGCGTCCTTTGCTTCCTCTGGGAGTCAACGTTTTGTGCACGAAAACAAGTGCAACGGTTGCTGAGTTTTCTCCAGAAGAGATGATAATATTATTGTAAATGTGCATGTTTTTCGATTTGAGAGTAACTTGACATCAGCCTTACATGAAAGTGTGCGTCCCATATTCGCAGCGTCTCGTTTTTAACCTTTAACACGCCAGTGTGTGGTGTTAGGACACACACGGATGTTTAGGAAGATAGGGAGAGTTAGGAACGTCAGATGTGCAACGTCGAGCATTGTAATTCTGCGTTTAGTTTTATGCAGATACAGGAAAATCGCGAAATAACGCTAATTAAAAACGCAATATTATTTTGTTTTGACACACACTACATCTGAGCCAAAAACAGAATTGTTATAATTGCGAGGAGTGCTTCAAAGTAATTGTCGGCCAATGTTTCAACTACCTTGTTGCATCACTGGAAATATCGAATGAAAATCACGTTATCCAGAATGTGCTGCATCATTTGTCCCTTGCCCAGTGGTCTGCGCAAATTACTGGTCTATCTTCTGTTCTTGAGGCAGTTACCGTGTTGCCTACACCACACCTTGCCGTAACCACTGGTTCTACAACCCTGCACAATGGTAACCGCCAACTGCACGGCGTCCATTTGCAGTCCACGGCCCCGTTGCGTTCTCGCACGTGCGCTGACATTCGCCGAATTTTTGCCGAAATTTCCTTCAAAAGTTTGGCATTTGCCGAACTTTGTTGAATCTGAAGTTAGGCAGATTCAGTCCATCACTACTTTATTTTTAGGAAATACAAATGTTTCAAGTGCCTGCTTAGCAAACATAAATGTATTCCAATAGTCAAGTTGACAGAGTACAAATCTACTCCATCTGATAAAAGTACAAATACAAAATATTGAAAATTTAATGATATCGTCCCTGCTCATATCTATGGGCTGTCGGCAACTCTGCATCAAGAAACACTTGTTCTCCTCCGCCGTTTTCAATTATGCTCCGGCTTGGAGTCCAGCTACGCCGTGCGTTACAGTGCAATAATATACCACCGGCTTAACCTTCCGTTCACACCACGCCCTTTATCAGTCGGGCCAAAGACTTCCGTTACATCACTCGGTCCTAGCGGTTCTTAGAATGACAATTCAGTTATTTTGTCAGCCAAGTACTCGTACTAGACCAATTTAAAAAGGTAGCACGATGAGCATCTAACCAGCCA